AAGAAAGAAAGAAAGAAAGAAAGAAAGAAAGAAAGAAAGAAGGAAGGAAGGAGGGAAGGAAGCTTGGCAGGCTCTCCCTGCCCGCAAACGCCCCGTCCATCGGAGCCCTTTCCCACGAGCCTCGCCAGGGCTTGGAACTTTTCCTCTCCCTCCTTCCTTCTACAAGCTGCACTGACTAGCCGGCTACCTCAACGCCAAGGCGGCTGGGGGGAGGCGACTCTGCCTCGCCTTCCTCCGGGGCGGGACTCGGGGCCCGAAAGGCGGGTCGGGGGGGGGGGGGGGGGGGGGGGGGGGGGGGGCCGGGGGGGCCCCGGGGCTTTCCCCGGGAAGGCTGCCCGCCCCGCAGCCGGCCCTGCAGCAGCCCAGCAGCGGAGCAGGGGGCGGCGGGGCCAGGGGGGGGGGGGGGGGGTCTGCGGGTTGCAGGGGAAGAAGCCGGGTTCGGTTCCGGGAAGCCTCCCGAGCTGAAGCAGCGGCGCTTCTGCATTTGCCCCGACCGGCACGGAGCGCCTCCTCCGGGGGCCTCCCTGGGATGGGGAAGGGCGCCCCGCTTGCCTCCTCCTCCTCCTCCTCCTCCTCCTGCTAGCCGGCTCGCCCGAGGTTACCTGGGCGGCTTCCTCCGGCGCTTGGCCGTCCGGTGCCGATGTCAAACAAGCGAAGCCCCGCCAACTCTCCCTCCGCCCCGCTGCCTGCCTGGGGACCGTCCGCCGGCCAGGAGCCTCCTTAAGCGGCCGAGTTGGAAGGGTCCTCCGAGGTCTTCTAGTCCAGCCCCCGCTCAGGCGGGAGCCCCCCCCCCCCCCCCCCGGCGCGCTTCCCCACCTCCTGCCGCTGCCGGCCGAGCTGCTGGTGCGAGGAGGCGGCGGCGGCGGCGGCGGCCCAGGGAGCGCGACTCGTCTGCCGCAAGCGCCTGCCCTCCGCCCGGCCGGCCGCCCGCCCGCTCGCTCGCTCTGGGCCGCTGTCGCAAAGAGCCCCGCTGCGCCGCCGCTCCTGCCTCCTTGCCCGGCCCGCCCATCCGCCCCGCGTCGCCAATCCCGGCGCAGGGAGCCCGGCGCCACCTGGGCTGCCCGACCTGGGGACGCCGCCTCCGCCTCGCCCCGGCAGCCGCTCGCTTTTCTCTCCCGAACCGGGGCCGCGAGGGGGGAGCCTCCCGGTCCGGGCGCAGTCTACCTGCGCGGGTAGGGAAAGAAGGGAGGCCGCGGCGGGCGCTTGGTCGCCCCCCCCCCCGCGCCCCGCGCCCCGCGCCCCGCGGGGATCCTGAGCAGGTTGCGGTTGGCTTTGGCGTTGGCTTGCGGGGCTGCGTGGATCGGACAGCTGCAGAGATGCCGGGAGTAGCTACACCCAGGAGCAGGAGCAGCTCCTCCTGGCCTGGAGGGGCTTCTCCGAAGGTCCTGTGAGGAGCTCCGTCCGTCCCAGCGTGAAGGCCCCTGGGGGCTCCTTAAAGGGCTCGGCCAGAAGAAACCACAACTGGCAACAAGCCTTGATGGGCCACCCAGAGACCATCAGGGTCCTGGCAGCAAAAATCCTGAACGGAGCGCGAAGCAGACCTGAACCCCCGGTTGGAAGGGAAATCCCAGATCTGGCTCAAGGTCCAAGCTGGAGGAAAGAGGGAAGAAGGTCCCTTTCCCGATGAAGCAGAACCAGCAGGGTTGGGGGTCCCGGGGCAGCTGACTAAGGGGGGTTACACCCTCTGGATTCCAATGGGGTCAGGTAGGGGTCACGGCTGGCTCTATAGGCAAAGGGGGAAGATGCAAACCCGAGCTGTTTGCCTGGGTTAATCTTGTCCAGCTTTTTGGTTGGTTGCTTATCTGGCGTTTCTGTCTGGCCCAGCCTTTCTGAACAGCCGGCCTCCTCAGTCTCTGCTTGGGGCAGGGAAACGGGGGATGGGCTCTGCCTCCCTTAAGGGTCTCTCCCCCCAACATTTCTCCTTTAGAGGAAATATTCTGCCTTTTAATATCCCCCAAAATATTTCATCCCCACACAACCAATGGCTAGTTTCCCATATCTCCTAACCCTCTTTAGCAGTCTCACCTGGATTTTTGGATGTCATACAGGGTGTAAGTTTATCTTGGGGGATATTTCTGCTGCTTTCTGCAGTGCATATATAGGTAGTCCTCAATTTGTAACAGTGACCATTCAAAGTTACAATGGCACTGGACAAAAAGGGCCTTGGGACCATTTTCCACCCTCCCACCTGGTGCAGCATCCCCTTGGTCACCTGGTTTGCATTCAGACCCTTGGCACCTGTACGACGGTGTCAGTGTCCTGGGATCATCCTATTTTGCGACCTCCTGTCATGCAAAGTCGTTGAGAAAGCCAGATTCACTTAACGACTATGTGACTAATTTAACTGAGGCGATTTGCTTAACAAAAATGCGGAGAGAAAAGTCGTACAACGGGGCAAAACTCACTCAACATCGTCTGCACAGCCCCATCAGAGGAACAATTTCTGACTCGGCTCCCATTTTAGCGACCAAAAGGGGGGGAAAAGTGTCACGTTTTGAAAAGTTCCAGAACCTGGAAACTCCTTGAGATCTTTTTTTTTTTTTTTTTTTTGTAAAAAGTTATTTTTTATATACAACAAATTCCATTCCATTTCAATCGTGTGTTGATTAGGTACATATTTCAATTACTTAACCATTATTAATAATATTCCTCTTATTCAACTTAACAATACAACAATCACATCCCCATGTATATAGTATAAATGAGAGCCAATATATCTATTACAGTCGTTTCTTTCATTGCTCTGTGAATCCATCCAATCCCTTTTGATTTGTTCTGTTTTCTATCCATTGATAAAACAAAATCCCATACCACAGAATACTCAGATTCTTCTTTTTCTTTCATTTCCAGTGTTCAATCTATTCATTTCTGCACATTCAAATATTTTTTTTTCAATTATCTTCCCCCTCTTCCAGTTTCGGGCAAATAGAAACTCCTTGAGCTCTTGAGGGCCCAGATCCTCCTCCTGCCGAACTTCTAGTTGCTTGAGAAGCTCCTCGTAAGCCCTTCAAGGGCTCCTTTTCCTGGCGTGGAGGATATTATTCAGCCCCCTTATGGGGGATTGAAGTGCTTTGGATCAGACTGACGGAGCCCGTGGAGAAAGGAACAGGCGGTCTGACAGGTAGGGAAAAACCCCAAATATGAAAGGCTGGCCGGCTTTTTCAAATAAACAACTGCAGTGTTTCCTGTGTTTGACCAGCACTTCATCCAGTCTGTTTGAGGGCCACTCCAGATTAGGATCAAGTAATGGTTGTAGATTATTAAAATACTTTCATGTGGCCAGGAAAGAAACCAGTTTGGTAGGAAAAGAAACCAGTTTGCGAGAAGTGTTCTCTGAGCTCTGGAAAAATAGGAAACTCTTAAAATTTACTGGAGGATAAAATCATTCCTTAATAGGAACGTCCCTGGAATGTCTCCATGGCCGGCCGGCCGCCTGCTACACTCCCAACGTCTTTTTAACAAAAGGTTTTCCTTCTTTCCAATCCAGTGGAATGAAGGAGGAAAAGGACTTGAGGGCAACTTTTCCAAACCTGGTTATTGTTAGGGAGGAGAAGCCAGCAAGGAGGAGGGAGGGGAGGAGCAGCCCACAATGGTGCCAGGTCTTCTTTGTCGGCCTCCTCCTCTCCAAACTTAAGGGAGGTGAGCCTTTTGTTATCAACACGAAGCCTTCATCTGGTTTTTTCATCTGGCTGAAGAATTCTGGGAATTGAAGTCCACCGGTCATTTGCCCGCCCTGGATTAGAGTCTCTTCTAACCCTGATGATGCTGCCTAGCTGGGACATGAAACCACCCAGCTCAGAAAGGCCATCGTTCAACCTGCAGATCTTGTTCTCTTCTCTTGGAACCTTTGTGGGCGTCAAATACTTCTGAGAGTTGCAAGCAAGTGGGAGAAATCTGCATATAGGCAAACCTCAACCGAGGAGCCACTGTTTCTTCCTGCACAAAAGGCCTCATCTGGGTCAGATATAAACCTCCAGGGTAGCTGGATAGAAAATAGCCCAAGAAAGTGAGCCAAAAAATGATACAGCTCATAGGGATGGATACCTCGGATCAAACAAAGGTCAACACACCCTACTGGGAAACCTCCAAGAGCAGCTAGAACGGACCATGACAAGCTAGGGCTGATGGTGTTCCCTAGCTGGGTCATGGAACGTCTGCAAGGAAACCACTAAGCTCAGAGAGCACCAAGGTCCCCTCAGTCCTCCTCTTCCTCCCCCCCCCACTCCCTTTTAGCGCTGATGGTGTTCCCTAGTTGGGTCATGAAACGTCTGCAAGAAAACCATCAAGCTCAGAGACCCCCAAGGACCCCACAGTCTCCATCATCCTCCCAAACCCCACTCCTTTCCGGCACTGATGGGGTTCCCTAGTTGGGTCATGAAACGCCTGCAAGTAAACCACCAAACTCCGAGAGCACCAAAGATCACGCAGTCCTCCTCTTCCATTCTGCAAACCCCACTTCCTTCTGGCACTGATGGTGTTCCCTAGTTGGGTCATGAAACGTCCACAAGGAAACCACCAAGCTCAGAGAGCACCGAAGACCCCCACAGTTCAACCCCGAGCGAAAAATATTCTTTTTTGGCCTCCATTCTTTAGCAGAAATAAGTGGGGGTGCAAGGGACCCCCCAAATCAGCCAACATGAGCAGACCTCACCAAAGCCACTGGAATAACCTCGATGCCACTTCAACGGCAGGCAAGATCCAGAGTAAGATTCAGGCAAGGAAGGGGATAGAGAAGGAAACCAGGTTGATACGTGAATTTAAAACAAGCTCTCTCTGTTCAATCTGCTATCTCTCTTGACAGTTCCTAAAGAAAGAAGCCACTGAATACAGTCAAGGACAAGCTGTTTTTACCCTGAATCAGGCCAAGTTTGTTGCTCCTAATAAGGTAAGCAGGAAGAGGATGTAGTGGTGACTCTAACCAGCTTAGTAAGTTGCTTGCTTTCTTGCAAAGCTTGGTCGATTCCTCCCAGAAAACCCTTTCTTGTTACAGATCAATAAAAACCCCAAAGCTGCCCTTTATAGGTGTTTGTAGTTAATTTGGGGTAAAGGGGAAAGTTTTTCCAACCTTGCTCATAGCTTACTACTAGTAGTTGTAATTCCATTCACATACATCAAAGGTGCACAACAGAAAGCAGAAAGAACTACACCCTTCCTTACCACAGTACTGTTATTTTTGCAAAACAACTCTATTTATATCTACAGAAAAGTTTCCTTTGTACAGCTGCATCTAACAAGATGTTCATCAAAGGAGCTGGAGAACATGTGATGTGTAAAATAAAAACAATAGGAAAAATAACCAAAATAATTACCCCCAAAGAGTATTTTCTACGTTTTAAGTAGCCCAACCAGAGTTAATTTCTAAAGCAGAAAAAGATACAAGTTACAAACTGTGTCTAGATGGAGTTTGAATCCTTGAGGGGAAAAATGGTGTATCCAAAATAAGCTTTGTTAATGAAATAAATTGGTTTAAACAGGATCCCTTTTTCCTCTTAATCTTCATCCATTAAAATAGGCAACGCAGTGAGTCTAGAGTGGCAATCTTTGAATAGCACCATTGATTTCAGCATTATCAACTCTGGAACAAGATGTTAGGATTTTGCTCTGTATGGATGACAATGGCTTAACTGTCATGGAACTCCGTAAACTGTAGTTTTGTGAATTTTCTAAGTAAACCCATTCAAATGCTCCTCCCAGATAGCCTTCCCCAGATTCCTTGGGGGGGGGGGGGCGAAGACACCAGTACTAGAGACGATTTTTCCCTCTCATTTTCTCATCTGAATTGTTCCTTTTGTGAGAATTTATGGTGGCTATGAAATTGATGGGTTAAAAAAAAAGATCTGTACCACTCATAGCCCCGGAGAACTATAGCAAAGCCCAAGTCCTTTATTTTCCACTATTTATTGTCATAATTTTAAGTCACATTTTGAGGGAGCCAACAGTTTGCTGTATCCCCATGTTGATTTAGGCAACTCCTGTTAAGGAACCTTAGCTGAACAAGTTTTGTAAATACATGGGATTTTTAACTCGCACGTGGAAAAAACAATTTAAAACCTGTATGTAAAGTCAACCGCACCTAAACCCGAACTGTTGATTCTTTAAAAGAAAAATCAAACCCTTCTTGCTTAAAGTCAGTGCAAACATCAGGGGCCTTGATCTCTCCATGCCAAGAGATTATTTTGATTTACTGATATGGAGGCTCGTGGCAAAACCTGCCAAATCCACTTGGAGCTCAAAGTCTAGTGACAAACAACCGGATTTCAGGAAGGCTCCTGAGTTTACATTTTGAAGAGTTATGTAAGACCAACCAACCATACCTGGTTTAATCCTTTGGGGATGTTCTACACACGATTGCCTTTGTTTTCCTTTTCCTTTCCCCCCACCCCTAAAACAGATCCAGGAGGACTCGCCGTTTCCAGAGGGCCGGGAGAATTTCACTCACTGGAAAAGCCGCATCTTCAGGGTGGAACTCCAGGCGATGATGATTCCACGGGAGAAGCCACGACAGTTGAAAAAAGGGTTGAAAGGGAGGACATCTCCTCCTCCTCTTTTATCCAGGGGGAGAGAGAGAGAGAGAGAGGCCCAAAGGTGCCTTTTTTCCCCCCAAGAGGCAGCTGGACTTTCTGGTTCTTCTTTGAAGAGGTTTCGCTTCTCATCCCAGAAGCTGCTTCAGTTCTGTTTGTCTTCATCCTTTCCACCATCGCTTTGATGGTCTAGGCCAGCCTTTCCCCACTTCTCAACTGAAAATCGGTCACTTAATGACGGCTACTGAGTCACAAGGGTCCAACCCAGAGTAACTTACGGCCCACTTTCAAGGTTCCAGGGGCTGAAACCCTCCCACTCCCCTGCCAATGTAGACATGCGATCGGCGGGGGGGGGGGGGGGGGGGGACTCAGCCGGTCAGGTGAACCGGTTGTTAAATTTACGTCTGGTTCGCCAAACCGGTAGTTGAACCGACCGGATGGTCCCGCCCACCCTGCCCCTCCCCAGAGTCCCCATGCAGCACATTTTGGATGCAGGTAAGGGCGGGGTCTGCGTGGAGGCTCTGGGATTGGGGAAAATGGGCCGAACTGGAAGTACCGGAAGTCCAGAAACGGGCCTGTTTCCGGCTTCTGAAGGGCCTCCAGACCCTGGGGAAGGCGAAAAACAGCCCTCCTGGAAGTTCCGGTAGGCCACGCCCACCATGGCCACGCCCACCCAGCAACTGGGCAGCGAACCGGTTGCTGGGATTTTTGAATCCCGCCCCTGCACGGGATCCCAGCGGGTCTGTATTTACGGCCCTTTGCACGTGACGGCAACCTAAGGTGTTCAAACTGGTCTTTCTTTCAGGTTTGTGGTTCGGAAACTGCCGGTCCCTGCCCTCGTGGGACGGGAAAGCAAAGCAATAAGCCCTCCCAGGAGGGAAATGTCCCTTCATGGATGGAGGCAACTATCCTGGGGGGGGGGAGAGGTTCCCCCCCCCAGGAGGGGCTCCAGCACGAGACTGAAACCTTGGAAGGCTCCTGGGGGCCGACCCAGGTTGCACCCTGCCACGTAGCTGCTGGCCACGTGACCAAACTTCAAACACTCCACAACCGGTTCCTATTTATGATGGCCGCAGTGTTCCGGGGTCCCCTGATCCCCTTTGACCACCAAGGTCAATGAGGAAGCCAGACTCACTTAACAACCATGTCACTAATTTAACAACTGCCAGGATTCATTGAGCCAACGGGGGCAAAACCTGCCTTAAATGTCTCACCTAGCAGCCGAGATTTGAGGCTCAATGAAGTGAAGGACTGCCTGCATTTCATTATGATGCTGGCTTACGCTGTTTCGGGGCCGGTTTCCTGGCCCTGTGCTTCCTTGCAAGGGGACCCCGAGGAAGGTGGTTTTAAGGAATCGCGGGATTTGAGGGTGGGGTCCTTTCATGCTGTGTCCAAACTCTGCCTTAAGGGGCTGCAGTGGGTGCCGGCCTCCCTCAGCATTGGGGGCCAGACTCTTCGGCCGGGATGGTCTGCGAGGAAGGGGCCCCCTCTGCCCCTAAGCCTTCTGCCCTAAAAGGCTTTCCTCCCCCACTAATCTCCTTCCCTGCCAGTTTGCGGCTTCTTCCTAATTTTCCTTTCCAGTTCTGTGTTCTCTGCGTTGTTGCTTCCCCCCCCCCCCCCCCGGTTTCTGTCCCCATAAAAGCCGGGCTGTATCGTCTGTATTGTTCTGTTCCTCCAGCATACAAAGCAGGGTTGCCCCAGAAACCTCCAAAGGCTTCTGAGGAGGGAGGCGGTGCTGCTTTAGTGCTGGGGAAGCGTGTAGTACATGCATTTTGTACTTTCTGATCTGACTATCGCTGAGGGGACTGCACTTCCTGCCCAACTCCCGCTGCTCCAGAGGCCACTCCCGCCTTTGGCGAAAGCTGGGTTCCTTGGGTGCCAGAGTTTTGTGGAGGCAAACGCCCCCCCCTGACCAGCACCCTGTAGACAAGAGGCTGTCGTGCCCCTTTCTCTCAGGGGACCTTCCGGCAGGTAGAGAAAAAAGGAGAGACTAAGGAACCTTGTTGTGTCAGAGAAGGAACAAACGTGGCCCCCAGAAATGGCCGGGTGCCCTGCTCCAAGGATCTCCTGCAGGCGGATCTCTCTGACGTCTTCTGCCTCGGTGGTAGGAGCAGCAGCAGCAGCGAGGGAGGGTCGGGAGGGGGAGGGACAGGCCAACTCTGCCTGTTGTTACCGACCTGCCTGGGGCAGAGCCGAAGGCATTCCAACGCCTGGGGCCAGCCAATTCCTCCTCCGGGACTTCAGGGGCCTCGATGTGTTCCCTGGGTGAAATGCTGTAGGAGACTAGGCACCCTCCCATCCCTGTCCTTAAGGATCACAGGAGCCTACGATGTCCCATAAAGGCCATAAACAGGAACTGTTCCCTTCCAAGGCCAAGAGTAATAAAGGCTCCGCTTCAGAGGAGCACCATGCAATACACGTGGCACCCGTCCATGTTCAGGAGATCCCCTTTTGTCAGATAGAAATGAATTGTGCCTGAAAGGCTTCCTAGGGACACCCAGCCCTCACAAACACACCTGGTCACGGGAGGGGCCTTGGTGCTCTTTGAACTGTGCACTGAAGTTGTTCCCTAGTTGGGTCAGGAAATGCCTGCAAGAAAACCACCAAGCTCAAAGAGCACCAAGGGCCCCACCATTTCCTCCCTTTTCCTTTTAAAGCAGCATTAGAAGAAGCAATCGAGACTTGGTTACGGCCAAAGCTTTCTTACAAACTCCACCTACTGAAACTGAAGTAACGTGGAACTGGGGAGCCAGGGAGGAACTTATAACCACATTACACAGAAAATACGTTCTATGCAGTGGGCCAAGCCAAGCCAATAGCACAATGCATACCTACTAAGTTCACCTCCTGGAAAGCAGACACACACACCTTCACGGCCTTCAGAATGGCCCCAACTCACAAAAACCTCAACATCAATCTGTTATTTTTTACACTGCCCATTAAAAATACCCTTGCGTTTGTTTTTTCAGAAAGGAGTGCTGGAGCCACATATAAAATCAGATCGAGTTACTCTTAAAAACTTTTTAATGGGTTCCATACTATTCTAGACAAAAAAAAAAAAATCATTTCTAAAAACAGTGGATGAGACATAGATCAGTAGCCATACATTTTAACGTTGTGGACTTCTTTGTCTTCACATTCTCTTTCCTTATCGTAATAGTAGAAAGTATTGTCCCTCCTCTGAAGCTTCTTCACAAATCCAGTCTCTGGCCACCTTTCCACCTGCATGCAAACAAGGAGAAGGAAAGTGCCCATGGGTTCTTGGAGTGGCTGAGCACGCATTTAATCTGCAGGTTCTGCTAGTGAACTCGAACAAGGGACGGAAAAAAAGGCCCGTATTCTACATCTCGTACAGAAATATACAGGAGGAGACCAGGCGTGCTGAGCAGAGGATCCCAGACCAGATCCAAAGTTGACAGTGCAGACAGGAAGAAATTCAGGATTTCACAATCTCCCCTTTTCCACACTGTCTCCGAAAACAGCGGGCCAGCAGTATTCCAACTAATTCTATTGCTAGGGAATTCTGTGACTTTTGATTCTACTTGAAGAGTTTAGTTTCCAGGCTCAGTTCATTTAAAGCTGGCTTTAAGCACACATTCTCCTATCCCTTTATTCTTGTGTTGCACATACCTTCCATTCGGAAGACTTGACCAAAAGTCTTAGTAAGCAATATTTTTAATTTTCTTTAACTTTCAATAGTACATTTGAGTGCTTTCTGTGCTCTCAAAATACATCTTATCAGAAAGAAAGAATTTATTGCAAAGTTTTGAGGATTCTATCAAAGTTAACATTGTTGCAGATTCTGTTGAAGGCTAGAACACAAATCAGTAAAGTTTTCAATATGGCTGCGAAGAGAGGGGAGGGGCAAACGTTTTTCAGAGGAAGCAAAAAAGGACCAACGCAGTCCTCTTATGCAGCATTAAGTGACCCCACTGAGTTCCCACAGAGGGGAGAGCTGTTTTCAGAATGAAATGGCCATCAGGGTGAATCTGGGTTTTCCGAAGCGTTATTAGAAGGGGAAAACATTTTCATTTGCTCAGTCTGAAGGAGGTAACACAAACCGAATCTCGGTGGCCTGCTGACCAGCATCCAAGCATCGTCATAATGGCCTCTTTGTAGGGGGCTACCACAGGACCCCTCTGGAAAGAATCTCTGTCAGCAAAACAATCTCTTGGCTCAAAGCCAGGTTGCGCTGACGCAGCCAGAGCTCACAGGAGATGCAGCTGTAATCCCTAAATGCTCCTTTTTGTTGTGTATGCAAGTCCTATTGATTAGTCAAGGGTGGCATAACCCTCTATTTGTTTTGTCCATAACTCTGTTATTCAGTGTTCTTTAAGGAGCCCAGAAAATCTATTTCTCATGGATCCATTATACATCTGCGGGTTCTTAACAGGATGGCAGATTACTGGTTCCAAGATTTGAGCCTAATTTAGTGGGATTCACGGTGTCTTTGAACAGCTGATGGCCACGCAGCTCTGCCTGCCCACAATACTATATCACCAAGTGCTCCTGAGAGTTGACAGAGATAAAAAAAACCAGACTTGTTATGAGGTAGGTGGCTGGCTGGGTTTCAGAAGCTCCTCTCCAATAGAGAAGTCTTCTGAATTAGATTTTTGGATGCCAGCCAACAACTGTTATGTGTCATGCACTTTTTTTTTTTTAACCCAAGATTAACAAACCATTTGGGTGGTCAGATGGATGCCTGCAGCCTAAAAGTATTTTCTGCCCATCCCTCCCTCTGCCCATATTGAAGTGTGCTTAGGAAGTGCTGCTCCTAAACTCTCCAGCAACACCATGGGATATTTCTCCCAACTTCAACGTTTTTCAATCCCTCGTTGATGGGTGTTTCTACATAATGGAAATCCCACTCCCCACAAAATCCCTACTCTGAAGGGAACTGACCCACCTCTTCTCCTCCTTTGCTTCTCTCCTTGGAGACAGAGGGCCAAGGATATAAACAGAGAGCGGCTCTTTTGAAGCCAGCACTCCAGCCCCCTGAAGTAACCATGGAGTAAAGACAGGGACTAGAAAGAAAGGATAAGGGTCAGTTCAACTCTTTCTTTGTAGTCCCCAAATGGAAACAAATAATTGCTCATGGTCATGCTCATGAAAGTAACTTAAATTATTATTTTCCGGATCCAATTAAACATTTAATGCCCTAAATAGCTTGGATTCCAACTAGACACATGACTGAACCAGCAGAAAAGCATTTGCCGTAAGCAAATAAGCTGCAGGGTCATTTAATTCAATATGAACGCAACAGGATATTAAAACCAACAAAATATTTGTGATCACACATCTTGTGCCGTGCCGTTCCCATGCTATTAAATGTGCTTAGCCTGTTTTCTGATTTTAGGTTGATGAATCAAAGTCTTTGTATTTCACCACCTCTTTCCAATGTGAATTCACTGACAGTGGTTTTAATGGTTTTTATTCAGATTTTGTCTTCTTGGACATCTCAAAATCCCTCCAAGAGAAAAGACGCCAGGTCAATTAAATAACCAGCTATTATCCCTTCTGGTGATTGATAGCAAAAAAGAAAATGTAGGTTAACATGATGCCTAATACATATTGCACTTATCAGACACAAATTCGGCTACTATTAATGTTAGCAAAATACCCTGGGAAAGCAAAGGGAAGCACATCACATTTTTAACATTTATATTTTACTGGGTTCTACTTATCTGGATGAAATGTTAATATACATTGCTGGTTCATGTATGTTATGCCGTACATTAAATAAATAAATAAGCACATCCTGGTCTCTACAACTAGCCATGGTCAAGAGCCATTTAGCCCAGCAGACTTCCAGAAGGAGAGCAGGGCAATAAGTGGAGAGGGAAAAGGGCTGAATATTTGTTTCCCATCTTTCCAAATGTAACACTCACCCTTGAAAGCAAGGAAAACCTGATTTAGCTCCAAGAACTAGACTGAGGACTACAACCCTGTGTACACGCGAATTGTACAGCATTTGTGAATTTGGATTATTATTATTTTTAAGTCAATTTCTGTGCCCCTTTGTAGTTTCTTCAAAAAAATCAAAGGCAGATTATTTATGCATACAAACACATATTCACAACATATAAACTAAAATGCTAATTAAACATGGAAAACACATTGCAGGACAGGTAAACATATGTGTATGATAGCAGCTCTTCAGCAAATGTTAATACATGACCAGTAAATGGTTTAGAGAGGGGTGTAATTTGAAAGTTTCTCCACCCAAAGATTCCAAAATGGGTAAATTCAGCCATTGGTATTTATAACCTATCTTTCACAGTTTGCCATGTTGCCTCAATTCAGTTAGTCATTTATTTGAAACCCTCACTGAACAAATTCTCTGATGTTGCTTTTTCTACCAACAGCAACATATCACCCCAGGAGGAAATTGTGAAAAACTACCACAAACCGAAGGAGGTTATTGTACGGAATAGTAAGTTTTCATCTTTAAAATGCTCAGTTCTTAAAATCTATCAAGTCTTACCACATCAACATGCTTTACTTGTTTATATTCATTTTCATCTCTATAGCCAGCTTGCTGAAATCTGTACAGATTTTCAACTTCATCCGACCATGTTTTGGCCCGCTGCATGAATTTTGGCTTGCGATCAATACTGGCTGTTGCCCCGGAAACATCACCAGCTAATTTGCTGATTTTTTTTTAAAAAAAAAATGGCAATGAAATGCATAAAAAAGAGCAGAAGAAACATCATCAAAAATTTTATGAAAAGACATTGCAACTAAATGCATGGACATAACTGATTAAAGCCATAACTGTATTATGAACTACTTTGATACCACCCAAAAGAGTTATCAATTGTTTTTAGCAAAAATCAGCTGTACTTTTAAAAAATAGAGCTACTACTGATAAAGGGAATAAGTAACCATGGCTTTAGACCCAGATTTTCTCTCCTTTAGTTATTCTTTCCAGCCTAAATATGCATATATTTAGAATATAAATCCGGATTTGTCCCTTTGCTTCCAAAAAGAAGAAAAGGCGGAAGAAAAGCTCTTAGGAAGTAGAGCCGCCCAGAGTAGCCTCACAGCAAGATAGGCAGCAAAGAAGTTTAACAAATAAATAATAAATACACCTGTAGATCTCCATTTTGCCTCCTCCCATATTTGGTTCTAGTTCCTAGCAGGCCGATTTAACTTGTGAACTGCTGTTTGATACCCTGGAATTAACCTTCCTTCCTTTTCCCCCAACCTCTTTTGAGATATGATAAGATTACAATCACTCCAATGATTTACATCTTCACGTGGACAAAATCCTCCAGCAACGGGATATCACCCTGAAGAGCCTGCATGGTCGCCACTTACGTGTCTTCGGGGCTATCTGCTCCTCTACTGAAGGACGTACCAGGCTTATCTGTCATATGGGCTTCTCCAGAGGAGAAAGATGCACAGGCCATATTCTTACTGTCCATAAACAAAGCTGAACTTTCCATAGGCGCTTCTGCAAAAACAAGCATGACACCAGGAATAAAAATAACAACAGCCATGGCCCTTAGACTTATTCACAGTGCATTACAGCCCCTCTCTAAGCAGTTTACAAAGTCAGCCTCTTGCCCCCAACAATCGGGGTCCTCATTTTACTGATCTCGGTAGGACGGAAGGCTGAGCCAACCTTGAGCCAGGTGAGGATCGAACTGCTGGCAGTCGGCAGAGTCAGCCTGCAACACTGCACTCCAACCATCGTGTCACCAGGGCTCAATAAAAAGGCAGTGTAATTAAAAAAAGACCTTAAAATCTTCAAAGTTTTGCTTAGGTTTTAGTGCAGTTTTTACAACGTTACTGTTGTCATTCTGCTGATGAAGATACACAGGTAGTCCACGACTTATCCACAGTTCATTTAGTGACTATTCAAAGTTACACTGTCGCTGGAAAACGTGACTTATGACCATTTTCCACACTTACGACCATTGCAGCATCCCAATGGTCACATGACCAAAATTTAAATGGTTGGCAACTGGCTCCTGTTTCTTTTTTTAAATGATTATTATACAATGTTTTTTTATATATATAAAATTTCCACATTCACAATAACGGTGCACTGTCTGGGTACATCCTCTCCTGTTTCTGATGGTCGCAGCATCCCCGATGACGGGATCCCCTTTTGCGACCCTCTGACCAGCAAAGTCAAGGGGGAAAGCCAGATTCACTTAACAACCAGGTTAACAACAACGAAAGTCATAAAATGGGGCAAAATTCACTTAAGAAATGTATCCCTTAGCAAAAAAAATTATATATATACTGTAGCTTGTATTTTTTAAATTGATCATGAAAATCTGCAATTGGAAGCCATCTCCTAAGCTAATTAGAGGAGGCGAGTCACATTCCGTTACCAAAATATTTAGAATAGACATAGAAATAGGAATAGAATGAATAGAATAGAGAATATAGAGTAGAATATATAGTATAAGAGAATAAGAAATAAGAGAATAATGAATAAAGCAGAGTAGAGTAGAATAGAATATAAGAAGAGAATAGAATAGAGTAGAAGAGAATATAGAATAGAATATAGAACAGAATTCTTCATTGGCCAAGTGTGATTGGGCACACAAGGAATTTGCCTTTGGTATAAAATATTAATTTAGGAACAATCTGGAACAGAAAAAAATAATCTGAAACATTTACACATTTCTTAGCACGGGAGAAAAACGTCCTGGGAAAACCCAAGAGTTTCTTTTGAAATCTCTTATTTCAAAAGCAGCAATCCAATCATTGAAAATGAAAGACAATAATGAATTCATAAAACTGACCTAACACATAAAAGGATTTTCTATTGTTTAGCAGTCGAAAGATTCAAGATAATGATTTTTATAAATCTCACGAATCAGATTTTTGTTTTATTTCAGGAGGAAACTGAGGATGAAAATATTTATTCACTCTATCATTACTATCTTACAATAATTATTTATCTCCTAGTTGCTTTAAAATACCAATTTTCAAGTCGCCCTTTTTTGATTGAAACATTTTTTTAAAAAAAGGTATTTCCATCTATTTGTACAACATTTATATTTTCATGGCATCTATTATATTTGAATTTCTGAGGGAATCCTGGGCCGCAGGCAGCACACACAGTGTCCCAAATCTCCCTCCCGAGAGGCGCGCCGTTCGCCCCTCAGAAACCTTCGTTCCTTTTCCCGCCAAAATGTGGACAAACGGCCCAAACACGTGCAGAGCCCCATTCCCGCCGCACCAGCCCAAATCTCGCGATACTGCGTCTAGGCAGCAGAGTTGCCACCCAAAAGAGGCGGGGTCTTAGCAGCGACCAATCAAAAACGATGTTTATGAGGGAAGGGTAAACGAGAGCAGCTTCTTATTCCCCTATTTTCTCTCCATCCTCTTCCCTGGCCGGGCCTGCAGTGGTTATCCTCCGCCGAAGGGAAGCCGGGCTCGCCCCGCCTCCCAGGCCGGTCCGGACTTACCTCAGGTGAGCTCCTCCACGCACGATGCCCACAACCTCCCTGCGGCGGTTACGCGGTTGCTTAGTAACCTCGACATTCCGGGGTTCCGAGCCAATCGGGGTTGCGGGCGAGGACCAATCAAATTCTAGACAAAGGCGGGGTCTTCGTCTCTTTGGGCCAATCAGCGGCTTCTATTCGCCTCTAGGTCGTGACAGACGTGATGGAATTCTGGGAATCGTAGTCCAAAACAGTCCGCGCTGCCATCGTTTTATTGGCTTATGATCGTTATCACCGGGAGCTTCAAACTAGGGAAGCTCCCTATAGAAATTGTGTCTCGTACTTTTGCACTTTAACCTGGGGCAACCTTCCCCTTTTTCGGAGTAAATACAATTTAGTCAATTTAATGCAAGGACAATCAAAGCTCCCTCCCCCCAACCATGCCGCAATAGGACCCTGTAGATTACAGATCCCCTCCCCCGCCCACCCTTCTGCACGTATGAGGCGTTTCCGTGATTGGCTGAGCCGGCGCCAATCACAGAAAAGCTTCACCCGGGCTCATGCGCAAATGATAACTCGGAGCCTCCTTGTCTCTTTCTGATCAAGGAGAGAGTGAGAGAAAGCAGGGCCGCACCCTCCGAATTCTCCTTTGCGCATGCGTCCGGGGAAGGCGTCCCTGTGATTGGGCGCCGCCTCAGCCAATGAGAGAGCGGCGGGAAGAGCCTGGCGGAAGTATGAAGCGGAAGAGGAACCGCTGGCGTCGGCGGCAGCATGAGCGTCTTTGGCGGGGTGATGCAGGAATACCCGCACCTCTCCATCGACCGCTTCGACCGGGAGAACCTGCGCGCCCGGGCCTACTTCCTCTCCCACTGCCATAAGGGTGAGCCGGGGAGGCCCAATTCTATGAAAGGGGCCGGGAAAGGAGGCCACCAGGAGATCCCAGCGCTGCCTCTTGCTGTGGACACTTTGCAGGATGATAAACGTGAGCCCGTGCAGGTGGTCCTCCACTTACGACCACAACGGAGCCCAGCATTCCTCTTGCTAAGCGAGACGTTGAGTTCCCCCCTCCCCATTTTATGGCTTTCCTTGCCCTGGTTGTTAAGCGAATCACCGCCATTGTTACGTTATAAATCCGGTTGCTAAGTGAATCGGGCTTCCCCCTCGGTTTTGCATGCGGAAAGGTTGCAAAAGGGAAAGACTATTTTAATACTAGCTCTGTACCCATGCTTCGCTACAAAACTATGTGGTCGGGCCTAGTTTTTGGGGAGGAAAATAAGGGGGAAAAAATTCTGCCTCTGCCTGCCAGCATCCATGGGTATTCATCTGGTTAGCGTCCTGTCAGTGTGTGAGAGAGTTGAGCGCTGTTTGGAATCTCAAACAGTATTTGCTGCGTGAGCAAGGAGGAGACAGCAAGGAGCCTGGGCATGGCTTAGCTCAACTGCGCTGTGTTAAGCCTGGATTCCCCAACGGTGTTAAGGAAAACAAACTAAACAGAATGTGCAGCGAAGTCAGATAGGAAGACAGGTAAATGTGTGAGATAAGTTTTCTAGTTAACACGCAGTAAAAATACAGATACGCTTGTGCTATCAAGAATATAGTTTATTCCATTTAAGAATTATAGCATAGTCATTATAAACA